TCCAACAAAGGTGTGGGAATACTACACACTCCCATGTACAAATCTGAACACCCTGTCTCGAGGTGTGTGTGCTGTACTTTCCAAAAGCACTTAGGCCTTTGTGGGCACTTCCCATCCGTTGCAGGCTTCGCTTCCGCAAACGGATTACACAATTGATGCAATACCCGCCTTTTTCCATTTCCCCAATTAAGAGATTTGTCCAAAAGGCCTTGTCCAAAGACATCGCGTACAGTAACACATACCTCGCACCATTTCTGGGCACAGCAACCACAATACGTTTGGCTGCTCCTGCAGGGGTTTTCCTTTCGCTCCACAGCGTTGCGTTAGCTGGGCAAAACATTGCCTACACTCACTGCTTCGTTTCCTTGATGTCCACGAGGTAGGTCTTACTTCAGTAGAACGCTGCTGGTCCTTCAGTACGTCCTTCTGTCAAGTCTGGGGTTCCAGGCTCTACATCATCATACGCGCCTGTTCCCGGCATGTCTTTACCACCACGCAGTCTAGGCGGCATGTACTTCAACGTTCCGGTCCTTTGCGTAGTCTGTTCTCCTTGGATACTTCTTCTCCGCATACCACTTTCATTCCAACTGTGGTCTCCGTGTTCTGCTGGGCTTCTGTCGTAGTTCTTTCTCCACTGGCTTTCCGCATACTCTCTGATGCATTCGACACATGCACAGTTCTGGTGTCCTACTTTGTTCGTTGAACATACTCCATCATTGCACCACGAACATCTCTGAGTACAACTTCTGCTTGTCGTACTTTCCTCTTCGGTAAGTTCCCATTCATGATCAACAGTACTTTCATCTTCTTCTGCTCGTTCCTTCTTTCTTCCAGGTCGAGCTTCTGGCCAGCAAATGTAACATGGACGGTAACCTTGCTGTCGCGCTGTTTCCTCTGCCATATACAGGAAACTTCCACTACGCAGTACACCCTGTACATATCTACAGCTTTCTTTGTGAAATACGCGGTTACGACTTTGGGAATGGATCTTGACCATGCCTATGGCTGCCATTCGTGTCCATACACTGCGGATTTTCTGTACCACTGTCCAGACATGTGGTGGTACAAGCAATACCACCATCACCAGCACACTTACCTCAAATTTCGAATACTTGGCATCCTCCATTGCGTCGGTACTTGGGGATTCTGGGATGCTACAGCTCTCTCCTCTGGTCCAAACAAACTGCAGTTGCGGGTTTGACCACGCTGAATACTTGAATCAATCTGATGAGGTCCTTTACTTGATTGCTCCCCACATACTCATTCAATTTCTTTTCCTGCTCGTGCCTTTCGTACTCATCCACTCCAGTGTGAGTGATTTCTCCTCCTTCGGAGTACTCTACTTGGGATAGGAAATACATGAGGAATGCTCTNNTCGTATTCAGGTCAGCAACATTCAATGCGGTCTTCACGGTTCCAATCTTCACTACACTTTCTCTGACCCAATCCTGTAGTTGACACAGTCGTACGTCCACATGCTTCAGACGTCCAACTCCTCTCCGTTGGCTCCACTGACGGGCCGATGATGAGTCACAGCGTACTTCTATACGCACTTCTTCTCCAGTCAAGAATTGAAATAAACGTCCAACAAGAATAGCTTTTCCACAAAGTTCCAAAGGCTTCATAACAAAGGATATATGAGAGCTATTGCTCATTCCTTGGTATATTTAAAAACATATACAAGGTCAATCCAATCCAATATAGTATGTGACGCAATCACTCACAGAGGAACGCACTGATCTTCATTTTCGCTCGAGGCGAACAAAGGGGAAACTCAAGTGCCGGCCACAGTCAAAAGCCAAAACGCACATGCCCCCGATCTCGGATGATCGGTAGACGGGTCAAGCGCGAATCTCCCCCCTTTGTGAAAATGTAGGGTTGGGCGGGCGGGCAAAGAATTTTCTCCCCCCTCCGTTGGGCCGACTGTGGCGGCGAGACATACTTCTTTACAAGCTTGGCTCAATCTGACATAAAATCACAGACATGCCAACTAGAAAATTCTTACTTGCAAAAGGAAAATCATGCAAGGAAACGAGCAATGGTCATGCTACATAAAACAATTCTGAAACCCATCTCACCACGTGAGATTGTTTGGAAACTTTGGTGGAAAGGTTTAGAAGTTTAGTCCGCAGGCGGAAAACTATCTTCCACAAAGTTCCAAAGGTTTCATAACAAAGGATATATGAGAGCTGTTGCTCATTCCTTGGTATATTTAAAAGCATATAAAAAATCAATCCAATCCAATATAGTGTGTGACGCAATCACACACAGAGGAACGCACTGATCTTCATTTTCGCTCGAGGCGAACAAAGGGGAAACTCAAGTGCCGGCCACAGTCAAAAGCCCAAACGCACATGCCCCCGATCTCGGATGATCGGTAGACGGGTCAAGCGCGAATCTCCTTTCCTCTAGCGCTCTGCCACGATCATCTCCTCTAGTCCTTTCGGCCACGTGAAGTCCTCAACGGAGGGAGCTTTCAAGAGCTCAACTGCAAGGTCTGACTCCTGCCTCGAAGGACCGTCCGCTACATTGCTGAACGAAGGGACTGATCAAGCCAGTAGAAACACGGATGCGTCACATCTAGGGAATCGAACGCTCGAGTGAGAGCATTCATTCCCCTGCTACCGCTGCCACCTTTCAAAATGGCAAACCTTGAAGCTTCGTTGTCCACAAACAGAATGAGCCTCCTGTTCAGGAACTGATCTCTGAAGATCCAGCGCACAGCTACTATCACGAAGAGCTCAATGTGGCAGATCAGTTGAGGCTCCTTGACGCTGGCCGCCTTCCAAGTGTCCAAAGCCCACGAAGGAACGAAACCCGAAAGAACCCTGCCAACCTTAAGCAAGGGATCCCAAATGCAAGCGCCTATGCCAGCCACTCCGTCCTCCCAAGACCCGTCGGTCCAAACAAGGATGGGCTCAGGCACAAACAAGCAGGAGAGCACCCTAGAGGGAGTGTTGTTAAGGATGGTTCGCGTTCTCTCTGCGAGGGACTGTAATCTCTCGAAGGCCACTTCTCCGCGCCACTCAAGAAATTCAAGCAGATCATAGCACAGATGCTTGAGCGATCTCCCTGAGAAGAAGCCAGCTGCAAAGTTTAGAAGCCCGTGCAAAACTTGCACCTGGTGACGCGTGATGGCTTCAGGAGTGTTTACCTTAGCAAACTCATCCAAGATTTTTTCAGCCCGTCCAGGCTTGTTTTTCAAGGTGACCAAACCCTGCTGCACCTTGGACAAGTCAAGCGTCATCGCCACCCCTTCGGCGACGGTGCAGCCCAGCGCAGCACCGTCATCGCCGCAGCCGTCATCCCCTTAATTCGGTGAGTCGTCGGACCAGCCGTCGTTGCCGTTCGCCCGTCGTCGCCGCAGTCGTCATCATCGCCGCCGTCGTCGTCGTCGCATCGTCGCCGCCCTGCGTCCCGCGTCGCCCGCCAACATGCAGGACCTAGTGAGCCGTCCGAGCCGTCGTCCCCGCTGGATCGTGTCGTCGTCTCCACTACGTCCCCGCCGCGGTCGTCGCCACCCCGACGCCCGCCCGCCACGTCGTCGTGGTCGCAGTCGTGTCGTCGCCGCACCGTCGTCGCCGCAGTCGTTGTCGCCGGCCCTTCGTTGCACCCCGGTGCACCCCCGGCCCCGCCCCTGACGTCGCCCGCTCGCGCGGCTGCCCACCGGCCCGCTCGCCCGCTGTCGTCGCGGCTCTCGCCGCTGCGTCGCCGTGTCATCGCCGCGTCGTCGTCCCGGCCGCGTCCGCGTCTTCGAGCCGAAGCCGACCGTCGCCACCACGCCGTCGTCGGTCGTTGTCGTCGTCGCCACCGTCATCGCTGCCTTCGCCGTCATCGTCGCCGCCGTCATCGTCGTCAAAACTCTCGGTCACGCGTCGCGCTGCCGTTGTGGTCGTCCGTGTGGGGTCGTCGTCTCCGTCGTCATCTCAGTCCTCGGGCGCTGGCTCGCCGCTATCGGTCGCCGGTTCCGCCCGTCGCCGCCGTTGTCGTCGTTGATCAACATCTTCGCCTGGGACTGGGCTGTGGCTGTTACACGTCGTCGTCGTCGGGTCGTGGTTG